TATATTAGTACTAGGAATTGAACCCAGGGCCTTTGAACCCAGGGCCTTTGAACTGAGCTGTATTGTATCCCTAGATTTTTAATTTATTTTTAAAATTTTGAAGTAGAGTCTAAGTTGCCAAGTTTCTCACGTTCTCCTGGAACTTTTGATCTTCCTGCCTCAGCCTTCCAGAGCACCAAGATTACAGCTGTGAGCTACCACAGCCCACAGCCAACTCTAAAATCAAGTTTGAACCAGTATTTCAAAAGCAAGAGAGTTCACTTTAAAAGACATGTCCAGGTTTTCTTGGGCAACTGGTGACACGGGGGTGACAATCAAAACATTGCGTATCTGGTACAGCTGGGCACTGATCCACCAACACGGAGCTGCCCGAGAGCCAGTGTGATGGTGCTTGTGTCCGGCCACGTGGCGTGGAGTGTGCAAGTACAGCACTGACGTCATATGCGTGGCTGTGCCTCGGCATTCTATTCTCCAGGCATGGACCCTAGATGATCATTTCGTACACTCAAGAAACAAGCTCAAGAGGTTCACTGCTACCATGCTCCTAACAGGTCTGGCCCGGGCACTGTCTACACGTCTGTCCAGGATGGATGAACGGTGATATCTGCACTTGAGGGGGACACAGGGCGCAAGTGACGATGCATGCAAACCACTCAGAGAGGAATCAGCCTGAGAAATATATTGCAGAGGCCGGGTGTGGTGGCAAATGGAATCCAGCCTTCCAGGAGGCTGAGGCAGGAGAATCACAAGCTCCAGTTCATCCTGAGCAACTTTATGACTTAGAGGGATCCTGTCTCAAAATAAAAACGGGTAGGGGACATAACTTAGTGCAAAGGCCCTGGGTTCAGTTCTCAGTATAAAAAAGAAAAAGAAAGAAAGAAAGGCAGAAAGAGAAAGAAGGAAAGAAAGCAAGCCAGCAGGGAGGGAAAGAAACCAGTCATCAAAGGCTCCATAGAATGGTTTCACCGAATCAAGTTCAAAGGCGGGCAAAATTGGATTGTATTGTTTAGGAGCCCATCCAGGGGGAGACTCTGATTAATCAGAGGAAAGAAGGATGACAAATATCAGAGCGGAGGGGCTGTGGTTGGCCAGGGTCACCCAGGGTTCTCCTGATGTGGGAGACGTGCTGTTCTTTGATGTGGACCGTGGTTCCACGGCTCATGCTTTGCTGTTATTCTTTTAAGCAAATGTGGACGCTTTCTGTACTTTCTTGCCTAAAAGTGGTGCCTCGCAATGTACAAAAACAATGGGCAACAGTGGCCAGTGAGCTCACGAGAAGATGTCCAACATCGCGAGCGAGTGAGCTCTTTCACACTCGTGAGGGTGGGAGAAATAGGACAGACCACCACCAGGGCACAGGGGGCACAGCGACAAGGACCCTCATGCCGTGCTGGTGGAAAGGGGGCCCGGAGCCCTCACTGTGGAAAACAGCTTGGCCATCCCTCAAAACGTGAAACGCCAGGTTACCCCACGACCAACGGTTCCCCTCTTTGATATCTCCCCAAGGTCAATGCAAACTTTTGCAGGCTCGCGGCAATATTGTTCATGATTGCTAAACAGTGGGAGGGTGACAAATGTCTATCAGCAGATGGGTAGATAAACAAAATGCTGTGCAACCATACAATGACAATTTTCTAAAATTTACTGTGACCTGAGTCAGACTGCAGTTAACAAGTGTGGAGCAGGGGGAAAGGAGGGAACCCTTGTACACTGTGGTTGGGATGTGGATGAGAACAGCCTCTTTAATGGAAATTCCTCAAAAAATTAAAGTAAGAGCCGCTGCTGGGAACACATCCAGAGGAGGTGTGTGTGGAAGAGGTGGCTGCACCCCACGTTCATGCGCCACTGTCCACAGCAGCCAGGAAACGGAAGCCACCTAGCGCCCGTCTGCTGAGAAACGGATAAAGAAAATGTGATCCCTACGAGCCCCACAACCCATTCAGCCTTCAGAGGGATGAAATACTGTCATTCGCAACAGCGTGGATGGCAGAGGAGATTATTATGTGAAGCCAAACGAGCCAGGCACAGAAGGGACAGGCAAAGCCAAAGGCTTCCTGGGGAAGCCACAACTGCTGGTCTCCTGAAAGCCAAGAGCAGGATAGTGATCGGCAAGGTGGGAGGGGAGGGGAGAAAGGGACAGCTTCAGTTACAGTTAGGTAGAGAAACAAGTTCTGCTATAAATTCTGCATGATGGGGGTGACTCAAGATAAAGTACTGCATCTTCGCATAAGCTGGAGGGATTCTGCATGCTTTCACTAAAATGTTAAATGGCTGCATTGCATGCTATGTGACGTATGCCTCCATAAAGTTGTTCTATTTTAAAAGGCAGTGGGAAGCCTCAGAAGGTTGAAGTGAGAAAGCAGCATGAATGTGCTGTGACCTGCAAGTCTGTCCTCCTAATGTCATTGCTGCCACAGCCGGGACACTGACCCCAGTACAGAAGGCTGTGTTGGCGTTGCCGTGGCGGCCACTCACTCCTGCCCTGGGCAGCGTCCCACCCCCTGAGGTCTCCCTCTTCCTCTGTGGCCGCCGATGGCCTGAGGCTGCGGTGGTGTTCAACGGCCCTGAATCAGGTGACACCCAGCCTAACCCTGCTAACTCTGCACTCTGAGAGCCTCGGTGATCACATTATGCCTGCACTAAGTCAGGCCTAATCACAGCTGCGCGGGCCAGGGCTGGTCACCCTTAGGCACCCAGCCTCGTCCCCAAGCAGCATGGGAATGCTGGGCACTGCCCTTTCTATCCGGTCACCCCTGCATCCAACCAGGGCAGAGAAAAGATGGGGCGAGGGTAAAGGGGTGAGTCTGGAGGGTCTGGAGCTGTGGAAGGTGCTGGAGGGAGACTGGAGGCAGGAAGAGGCTCTAGCGTTATTGAGCCCGCTGGGTCCTGCCAGGCCCCCCTAGGTGGTTGTGTCCCCTGGCAAAGGTCAGGACTCCCTGGACCCCGGGCCCGAGGATGACGGTGCTCAGCAACAGCATTTCACCGCCAGCCACTGCCGCAGCACCAGCCCTTTCACTCAGTTTGATTCTCAGACCCATTCCACTGGGTTTCCCCTTTTAGGAGCACAACTCGGTAGTTGTCCTTGTATTCCCAGAGTTCAACCATATGGCATTTTCATCGCCTCCCCCCAAAACAACCCTCTGCCCATTAGCAGTCACTCCCTGTCTGTCTCCCCTCTTCCCGGCCCGAGGCAGCCCCTGATGTACTTCCTGTCTCCATGCAAGGGTCCTATAAAAGAGGCGGCACAGGACGGGGCAGTTCTCCAGGTCCCGGACTCTCCTCCCTGGCCGGGGCCGAATAGTGTGCTCTGTGGCAGGAGAGGCCTCACCTAACCGCACTATCTTGAGCTCACCTTCCTTTCCCAGTCCAAAGGCACCAAGATGGGGCCCCGGGCAGTGCTTTTCCTGGCACAGCCTCCCTTCCCATGCCCGTGGCTCTGCACCTGCGGGCCTTATCTGGAGGCCAATCTTTATCTCCGCCAGTCCCAGCAGACTCCACGAAGCAGTTCTACTGCTGCTTCTGTACCCTGCGGGGAGGCTTGCCCCGTGTGACAAGTATCGGAGACAGCAAAAGGCTGGAGGAATTCAAAGATCCACCACTGGGCGGATATATCAACGCAGGCAGCAAGCCTGCAGTGGGACAGGGAGGCTGGGTAGCTACTGGGAGAAGAGACCAGCGAGACACATCATTAGGGGAACAGTCAGGTGTGCAGGGTCTGCGGTGTGCTCCTGTCTGTGCAAGGAAGAAAAGGTCCGCTGTGCTCCCAGCATCTGGGAGGCTGAAGCAGGAGGCTTGCAAGTTGATCTAGCCTGAGTGATCTAGTGACTTAGTGAGATCTTGTGTCAAAGTGAAAAAAGAAGGGACAAAGGCCTGATAGCATGGCAGAGTGAGAAGGCTCTCAGATCAATCCCCACAGCTACAAAAAAAAAAGAAAGAAAGAAAGAAAGAAAGAAAGAAAGAAAGAAAGAAAGAAAGAAAGAAAGAAAGAAAGAAAGAAAGAAATTAAAAGGCCTGCTCATGTATGTGCCTAGGAGGGGCTTCAGGATAGATAGGAGATGCCCCTTGGGAGTTTGTTTTTTCTTTTTTCAGTGTTGCAGGTGAAGCGTAGGGCCACATCCTGGAGAAGTGGGAATTCCACTATTAAGCCACACTCTCAGCCCTAGGCCTTTTGCTTATGTGTTTTTGGGGTGGTGCGGATTTAACCCAGGGCTCCTGCACGCTGGGCAAATGCTCCACCACTGAACTGCATCCCTAACTCTTTTAACAAATTATATTTTGAGCTGGGGATTTAGCTCACTGGTTCTGCTGCCTGCCTCACCGGTGCAAGGTCCTGAGTTCGAACCCTGGTACCAAAAAAAGAAAAGAAACAAATTATATTTCGAGACAGTGTCTTGCTAAGTTATGCAGGCTGGCCTCAAAGTTGTGATCTTCCTGCCCCAGCCTCCGAGTTGCTGGGGTTACAGGTGTCCTCAGCTACCCTTGTACCTTTTAAATGTTCTACTATGCAAGAAAAAAAAAAAAGAGTCAGTCACTGGCTTCTAAAGCCTTTTATGACTGTCGGAGTGCACAGTGACTCCCTCACGGTTTCCATAGCTGCCCTGGGCTGCTGGAACACTGTGCGTCCCCTGGGTGCTGTGTTGACCAGGAACCTTTGTCAGTACCCCTTGGGCCAGCAGCTCTGTGTTGTGCTCCCAGATGTCCACACCCTGCTCCCGCTTCCCAGGAGGA